AATAAGACTTGGACGTTAGTTCCTAGACCGCCCAATAGTTCCGTAGTTGAGTGTAAGTGGCTATTTATGGTTAAGGAAGAGCCTAACGACATTAGATATAAGGCTAGGTTAGTTGCTAAGGGATTTACTCAAAAGGAAGGTGTTGATTATGCTGAAATCTTTGCTCCTGTTGTTAAATTCACTACGATTAGAACTATGCTTGCTCTTGTTGCTAATCATGATTGGGAAATGAAGCAAATGGACGTCACCACTGCTTTCTTGCATGGTGATTTGGACAAGAAAATCTATATGACCCAGCCTGAGGGCTTTGTGGATCCCATGAAGAGTAATTATGTGTGTTTGCTTAGGAAGGCCTTGTACGGCCTGAAGCAGTCCCCGAGGCAGTGGAATATCAAATTTGACCAGTGCATGTCATCTTTGAAATTTCACAAGTCCGAGTGCGACCATTGCCTATACTTTAAAAATACTTCTTCTGTGCCTGTATTTTTATTGCTTTATGTGGATGACATGTTGATTGTTAGTCCTTCGGGTGATGCCATTAAAGGTGTGCAAAAGCATCTCAGTGAGAATTTGCAATGAAAGACCTAGGTGATGCCAAGAGGATCCTAGGCATTAACATTGTTAGGGATAGGAGTAAGCGTGTGTTAGTACTCAATCAGATTTCATACATTGAAAAGATTTTGAGTAAATATAACATGCATTCTGCTACTACCGTCTCTATCCCTATGGCGTCCCACTTTGTGTTAAGTAAGGATCAGTCTCCCAAGACTGCTCCTGAAATTGCTAAAATGAAATCTGTGCCTTATTCCAATGCTATTGGGTCCATGATGTACCTCATGGTGAGTACTAGACCCGACATTGTCTATGTTGTTAGTTGTTTGAGTAGGTATATGTCTAATCCTGGTTTACCTCATTGGAATGCTCTTAAGTGGTTGCTTAGGTACTTGAAATCTTCTGTTAATCATGGGTTGGTTTTCACTAGGTGTTCTGAGGGTGTTAAGTTGAGTGGGTATGTGGACTCGAATTTTGCTAACGATAGAGACAATAGGAAATCCACTACCTCTTATGTGTTTACCCTTTGCGGGTCTTGCATTAGTTGGAAGTCTCAACTTCAACCCATAGTTGCCCTTTCCACTACTGAGTCCGAGTATGTGGCCGCTACCGAAGCATTTAAGGAAGCCATTTGGCTTAAGCGTCTCCTAACGGAGATTGGTAGTCTTAATCAGGACATTTGTGTGTTTTCTGATAGTCAATCTGCTATTCAACTGTGCAAAAATCCTGTTTTTCATGATAGAACTAAGCATATTGATGTTAGATTTCATTTTATACGTGATATTGTTAGTGCAGGTGATATCAAGTTGATTAAAATTCCGTCTGAATTTAATCCTGCTGACATGGGGACTAAATGTCTCTCTGTCGAAAAGTTGTTGTCGTGCAAGCGCACGTTAAACATTGATTGCGGTTAAGTTGCCTGGTGATCTTACCCCTTTGCCTAAATGTGTCTTTGTGATCATTCGGGCAATCCATCGATGATGAGTCTCAAATTTGTGTTAGAGCTTTGACTCTAAACCACTATGGTCCAATAAGGTGGAGAATGTGTTAGGTATTGGCCCGGTTTTGTTTGTCAGCCCAGTTCATTTGAGATTAACCTTGGCCCATGTCCTTACTCTCTCTTCCCTGCGCTTTCCTTGTGCGTCTTTCTCTTCTGCTTCGCCAGAGCCTTCGGTTTTCCTCTGTATGGTAAGTTACCATGTATGAGTTTTGAGCTTAGCCTATTTAATCTCTCTTGTCCGCTGCTATTAGGCGGGGCTGAAACTCTTGCTTCTCTAATTACAGCCTCTCTGTGGGTGCTCCTACGAACTGGCCGGAAATAGCCGCTGGCCGACGCCCCTCTCTCCCCTTGTTGAGCCTTGTGTGTGAAATTCATCCTTTGTGGATGAAAGTGGTTGAGACCTGAGCTGGATATTGAGTCCTTACATATGCTTCCCAACATGTATAGCTAAATAAAATTGGGGCTAGAAATTGGTTTATTAATTGTTCTTATCATGTTTTAATCTGTATTGATTTTAATTGTTAAGTTTGTTCAATTTAGATTGTTGTGTCCAGAAAATTAATTATGTTGTGTTTGTGATATATATTATGAGTACTCAATCATAAACATATTGTTTGTTAAATACACAAATGAACACTTTCTGAACACACCGTTAAACTTCTTTTACCTTGTCCCGGATTGAAGTTTTACGGGAGAATTTAGTTATTTAATTATATTATTTACACCACAGGGTTGGGTAAATAATATAGTTAATAATTAAGGTTGTCGTTGCACTTAAACAACTAGTCTCGTTTTGGTCATCACTGGGAAATGTTGACTAGCTACTTATTTTAGGTGACTTGTGTTGGGTCCTAAAATATTTATCTACAACTTCTCACAATCTATCTAAGAATAAAATTAGCAATTATGTCTTTCAAATGAGCATTGAACAATTAGTTGCCAATTTCTACCCCTACTTGCTATTGGTTGAACTTTGTGTTGATAAAAATCTCCTCTCAATCACTTTTATTTAATTACTTTTCCAAGCAAACAAAAATCAAAAGAAACGCATACCCAACTTTACTCCTTAGTTTGTGCTTAATTATTTTATTTCACGCTTCTCTGTGGTTCGATACCCTACTTCCTTGGGTAAAAAAATAGTTGTGTGCCCATTATATGATACACACCACAAATATATACTCTATTTGCTAGGGCTGGCATTTTAGACCGAAAAACCGAAAACCGAACCGAAAAAAACCGAATCGCTTTGGAAAAAAACCGAACCGATTGAAAATGGGACCCGAAAATTGGGACCCGATAAAAAATGGTTCGGACTCGGTTTATATTCCTAAAAATCGGTTCAAAACGAACCGAACCGACAATTTTTATATTAGTAATACTAATAATTAATGACAGTTTAATACAGGTATAATATTATTCCGAGTACGAATTGGACGAATTGGACTAGTATCGGAGTTGGGCAGCCGTAGCCTATTCTCATTGAAACGTCGGGGGATCGATTCTTGCCTGCATCCGTAATGTTTGATTTTTTAAAATTGGCTTCTTTCCTCTTCCATTTTGTCCCACACCGGAAAATGAGTAGCATCCTACTCCAAAATCATTAATATAAACTAGGTCCCTCAGTTTAGAATGGCAAGATACATTCTAGGCAGCTAAGACATGTTCTAGGTTGCCATTGGGCTAATTGGGCTCAAAATTTAGCATGTTTCAATGGATTTTAGTCTATTGGATATTAGTTTAAATTTAATTATTACAACTGAGTCGGTTTTTTCGGGTTGCGGTAAACCGAACCGAAAAAATCGGGCACCAAAAATCGGTTTCTGATATTATATCGGTTTGGTTTCGGTTTTGATAATTTTGTAAAACGAAATATCGGTTCGATTCGGGTATATGGTGAATCGGTTCAGGACCCGAACCGAACCCAGCCCTACTATTTACTAGTGATCTCTTGATCACACAGCAACACCTTAACCACGACATCGGTGCGCCAATGCTCCTCTTTGGTATGTCTTGGCAATGCGTTAGAATTACATCTCACTATTTTCTTCTAAAAGACAAAAATAAGGTGTGGGCCCATGTTAATTGAGCGAGTAGAGAAAGCGGAATCACTAGTGCTATTTGTGAGGAACACAATTTTTCGCATAGACAAAAAAACAGTCTGTGTCACAGACATCTTTTTTGTCTGTCTCACAGACAATTTGTTTTTGTGTGTGCGAAAAATGGTTGCTTTACAAAACCGCGGTCAAATTGTCTATACACAGACAATTTGTCCGGCGTGTAAAATGACGTATACAAATATGCTCTATTTACTCGGAAACCGCTATATTACAGAAAACAAACTTAGCATTTGATTTAATCGTATCTTGCTGTCTGTTCTTCAATTTCAAGCGTTTCATATCTCGTTTGAAAGAACGTTTTGAGTTCTAAAACCCGTATTTAGAATTCATTTGTTATGCATTAAAGAGTAGATACAGATTAACCAGAAATTCATAATCATTTCCAAGTTCACTCCAAACTTGTGTAGTATTTGATTTTATTATATATTACTGTTTTTTTATCCATTCCAAACGTTTTATAGCTCGTTGAAAAAATCTATCGATCCAGTTCGAAGACTCTTATTCAGACTTCTTTTACTTTTTGCTTTTCTTTTCTTTTTCCCTTTCTTTCTCTCTATCAAAACTCTCTCTGTTTTTTAAACCCTCAACTCCTTTTTCACTTTTAATACACTTCTTGCTCCTCCAATGTACTGATGTAGTATAGGCATTTAAGAGTCCAAAATTTCCACATTTCCATACTCCTAAAACCTTTGGACTAGACGTACCCTTAATTATAAGTCACTCCCTCCCAGTGGCGGATCTTGCTACTAAAATTTGGGTGTTCAAAAGTATTTTACTATTAAAATATTATATAAAAGTTACATACATAAAATATTAACATGTATTTTTTGTATTGAATTTTCAAATTTTTGGGTGTTCATATGAACACCCCTGAACCAAACACATCCGCCACTGCTCCCTCCGTCCCGGTTTCTTCCAACTTTTCCTTTTTGGACCGTCCCAATTAATTAATTCTTCCAACTTCCACTTTTGGAAAAAATACGTGGTTCACATTCATTCACCTTTTTCTTACACAACTACAACATTACATTTTCACTTTATTCTCACTGTCTAAATTTGCGAGCCAAGTCAAAACCGGATGAAATGACCTGAACGGGGAGTATAACCACTCTACTACACACAACAGTTTCAGAATGTATAAATAACTTTAACTGTACACACTATGCCCGTGAACGATTGGCCGGGTGCGAAGCTTACTGGCGAAGCTTTTACTGTACATTCCCTTTCCACTTTATGAATTTATGTGCATTCCCAAAGTTATTGCTTACCTGAGAAGGAATAACATTATATTGATGTGAAGGACTCACCACATATATATATATACCTACATAAGTCACCCGGCCACAATAACCCATCCAATAAGTATCAAGGTCACAGTGCATGAATTGAAGCAGCCTAGCTAAGTAAAATAAAAAATCCAACATGGTGTCCACCAAAACCATTCTACAGTCCGCGGCATCGGTGGCGGCATCAGCGGTGATGGTCCGGTCGCTTGCCCGGGACATATTGCCCAGCGAGCTCCACGACACTGTCCTATCAAACGTCAACGTCCTTCTCAAGTCCTTTTCTCCCATCATGGAATTAGTCATCCAAGAGCTGACTGAGGGTGGCAAAAACCAAATGTACGAGGCAGCGGAGTCGTATCTAGGGAGGCGGCACGGTCTGTACGACTCAGCCGCCTCCTACCGCTTACGCGTCGCCCTCCCAAAGGACGAGGCTAAGATCTCTACCACCATAGACAAAGGTCAGCAAGTCGTTGACCGTTTCAACGGCGTCTCGTTCACGTGGACTAAAAGCACTGCGAAGCGAGGGAAGGATGAATATTACACCACCTCAAAAGTAGAGAGCTCCCCTTTGTTCACTCTCACCTTTCACAAAAAACACAAGAAGATGGTGTTTGATGTTTACTTCCCCTTCATATTAGCCGAGTCAATCAAAGGCAAACTCGAGCAAAAGACTCCCAAGCTCTTCTCCATGAAACTAGATCACGGGTACTCTTATAGTCCGAAAGGTGCTGATGATAAGTGGAAGTTTGTCAAGCTTGACCATCCTTCCACCTTTCAAACCCTAGCTATAGATACCGACTTGAAGATATCCATTATGGAAGATCTTGATAGGTATGTCTTAATACTACGGACTCTTTTAATTAGACATAAATTTTCTGTTCCGGTCAATGATGATGGTGGCTTAGATTTGACAATTGCGGCATTATCGCAAATTTTAAATGCATAATTTCATTAATAAACTGAATTTTTATGCAATCACAAACTATGCATCATCCGAAAGCACTCCCCTGTGTGAACATGAATTAATATGTAGTCCGTAGTATAATATATAAACACAAATAATGACAATGTAACTTTGATTTGTACATTTATAGGTTTGTGAAGAGAAGAGAGTATTACAGGAAAGTTGGAAAAGCTTGGAAAAGAGGGTATTTGTTGTATGGTCCACCCGGGACGGGGAAATCAAGCCTGATAGCAGCCATGGCTAACTACCTCGAATTTGACATATATGATCTCGATCTGACTGCTGTCTATACCAATTGTGAACTGAAGAGCATTCTTCTCTCCACTGGGAACAGATCGATACTAGTTGTGGAAGACATTGATTGCAGTGTTAGTATCACTAACCGAATTGCAAACCAACAAGCCTTATGTAACCCCGCCAAAAAGTCAAAAAACAGAGATGTAAGTCCTCTTTAATATTATTACTATTACTTTTGTTACTATTATTATTTTTTATTACTCACTACAAAAAAAAGTGTTTTTGTCACAAAGTGTTCACGGATTAGTCTGTTACAAGTTTGTAGATGGCATTCTATTTTGAAATTTAAGGGAGAGTAAAATTTAATCACTGTTTATGAGAAATGTTTTCGAGCACATCAACCAAACGAAAACTAACCTACATTGTTGTATATGAGTTCAACCAGGTGGTGACTTTGTCAGGACTACTGAACTTCATTGACGGGTTGTGGTCGAGTTGCGGGGACGAGAGGATCATCATCTTTACCACAAACCACAAGGAGAGATTGGACCCGGTGCTTCTACGGCCGGGTCGGATGGATGTGCACATCCACATGTCCTACTGCACATTTGGCGCCTTCTTGACTTTGGCCAAGAACTATTTGGGAATTGAGGAGCACTCTTTGCTTTTCCCAGAGATTCAAAATTTGTTGGAGAAGGCAAAGGTGACCCCTGCTGTGGTCGGTGAGCACTTGCTGAGTAATGAGAATCCTGACCACGCCCTCCAAACTCTTGTCGACCTTTTAAAAGTGAAAATAATCGAAAATGAAAATGAAAATCCTAACCAGGCAGAGGGTGAAGCGGCTATGGAACCCTTGATTCAGTCTGATGACGAATCTTATTAATTAGTATTAAGTGTGCTTTGTTTTAGCTTTAATATTAATGTAATACTTGGTGTATTGTTGTTAGTACTGTTACAGTACTACCTATCTTAAAAGATGTTCTTTATTTCACTTTATTTGCCTTTTTTATTTGTTTTGATCCAAGTGGCTCTCTTTGTGAATTGATCGTCTTGTGGTTGTTAAAGGCATGGTATTAATTAATCAACTTATTTGTTTTGGAGTTTTAACCTCTTTTAGCGTTAAATTAATTTAACAAAACATTTGGAGAGATTCTGTATTACAAACTCAAACACACACATACGGAGTATATACTTGCACCATTTGTATGGGAAATTCAACTCTAGGCCCTAATACCCCCACCTCATTAATTGCACCATATATACCATGTAGTCTATTTTTTAAATAGAGATGATGCTGTGAAACAAATTTTAAGTATTTACATAAAATTGATCACAAATAATAATATGTGAGAATATTGGGTACAATCTCTAAATATGAATCCTCTGATTCTTCACTTGCAATTTGAAATAAATATAATTAAAGAAATTAATTCAAAATTAAATCTTTAATTCTTCAAATATTTGAACGTACTTCAGATCTTCAAATCTTCGTTCTTGAGATCTTCGAATCTTCGAATCTTCGTTCGTCGGATCTTCAAATCTTCTTGAATTCAGAATTTAACTTGAAGGGCTTCCGGTTTTCAAGTGGCTTGATCTTCAACAAAAGGGCCGTTTTATGGCTTGATCTTTTGTTTAAGGGCCTCCCGGCAGAGGCGGACGCACTAAGGGTCCCACGGGGTCCCGGGACCCCGTGCACCTTGAAAAAAATACCTATATATATTATATATACAATGTATAAAATTAATTATTTAATGTATATTAACACAAAAAATGACCTTAGAAAATAAAGAACGAATCAGTCCAGCGGTGTTCGGTACTTATTCCAAACATGAGGTCGCGCGTTCAAAGCCTGACATTTTCCTTTTATTCCTTTTTCAGTGCTGGGCTTAAACAATGTATACTAATTTCCAACAAAACCTTCAAGTTGGTTCATTTAGCTCATTGGTTGAGTATGTCTTTCTTTGTCCCAACAACTAGAATTCGAATCCCAACTCCATATTTTTTAAATTTTGCTACTTTTCTCCAATTTACTCTCATTTTCTTTGAAGGAAATTTCACTTTTATTATCCTCTAACTTGAACTTTTATTTTCTTCATTTCTTCACGCTAAATGTATCCAAATAACATCAAATGTACCAAGAAATACAAAATACACGCATAGGACTGCACTAATACAAATTAACGACAAATAATAAAAATATGTACAAAATTACAACTTTAATAACTAAAATTATCAACAAACTAGGCCTAAAAAGTGTGTAAAATATAAGCACATCAGTCACCCAGTTTTTTTTCTCTGCTGCTTTTCTTTGCATATCTTTTTTTAATGTTAGATTAAATTAATAAATTCATGTTCTTATAAATGTTATTTTCAATTTTATACTCCCTCCGTTCCTATTATAACTTCCAAATAGGTTTGGCACACAGTTAAAGATAGCGGGTATTGTGTGGTGGAGAGTTGTGCAAAAGAGAGAGAAAGTGGTCGAAAAAGGAAAGTTGGAAGTTATAAGAGGAACGAAGGGAGTACGATTTAGGATTAAAAGATATTTTGATGTTGTACCCAAATTTAAAGAAACCTAGAGTACCGGGAATAGTTCAGGTGTTAATTCAAATGATTCGTCATTAGTAAATGAAGAATTGGATAAATTTTTTATTAGTTTTATACTTGTATTAAATAGAGATTAGAGATATAAAAGGGTAGGGACCCCGTGGCTCCGACTTTCTGGGTCCGCCACTGCCTCCCGGGATATATGGCTTGATCTTCAATTGAATTTCAATTCAATCTTCATATGAGTATCTTCAAATCTTCAAAGATTCGTTCTTCATATCTTCGAATCTTCAAAGTCTTGTTCTTCAGATCTTCGAATCTTCAAGCTTCGTTCTTCAGATCTTCGAACGTTCTTCAACTTTTGGATTTATTTTATTAAGAATCGACAAAATCACGAAGGATTATTCGTATATTCTTAATAAAATTTATGGCTTGATCTATTCCTTTTCTTCGGAATCATTCAGAGCCTTTCGGGAGTTTTTGAGAGCTTTTCTGCAGCGTTTCTTCGTTTGAAAAATTCTCTTCTTCTTCCTCTTAACTGAGACCCCTATTTATAGGTGTGGAGGAGATAAAATCTGGCTTAGGGTTGCATGAAATTCGTTCATATGCTTAGGGCCTCAAAGAAAGTGGGCTTTGGGCTCTATTTGCTTGCATTTAATAGCTAGAAAAATCAACACTTGTTTGATGTATCTGGACAGCTTTTTTTAACAAGATTCATAGCTATTTCTCATTCATATGGACTGATTTCTTGACTAGATTAGTCCTCCTCTTCATATATTGGATCATGTCACTTATTTATTGGGCCATTATTTAATATTGGACTCAAAATAAATAAATTAACAGGACTGGTCCATTCTTTTAAAGATTTAATTTATAATTAAATCAATTGGGTATTATTATTTTTTTTATGACCCAAATTAATTCAATTATTAAATTTTATCTAAATGGGTCCATATTAATATTTTTATAAGACCCAACAACCATCACGAGCAACCCAACAGAGTTGAACATTGACCCAATAATTTTTACATGTCCACAAATGCCCCCTCTAGATTTACACTGAGCATGTTGAAACGAGTGAGATGTAAGTCTCCAAAATATATCTATCCTAAATAAGCTCGGACCTAGATATAGTATTTAAAGTCCAAAACTTTGCTTCAATAATTGGCCCAAATAATCAATTGACCAGAGTAATTTGTGAATTTTCGTCCGTAGAATCAAACGTTGAGTCCTTCTCCAACTCAATTTCAGTGTTCAATTAGGACTTCAATTCCATTCCACTAATAAGACTCAAATTCTTTGATCATCAACTTGTATAAATATCAACTCCGTTCATTCTTGATTTAACTTTGTTTAGGCCTTTTCTTCTTGATTTAACTTAGTTTCTTTTGCATTACAGGAGGAGGAATTTCATAGAAGATGGACATCGTATGTTGTCTCTAGAGAAAGAAGAGATGAATCTGACTTCTTTTTTTTATTATTTCTAATCGCCTATGAAGAGAAGTCTGCAGCTACTTTCCTCTAACATTGCTGATGAGTCCATGGTTCAGCGGTTACGATTCCGTCAAAGGCAGAGGAGTGCATCGCCGTTCAAAGCTTTGAGACCACCGCCCTATGACCGACCATTTGGATGCGGTTGAATCAATTTTTTGCCTATACCCGACCGGGTACATGTGTTACCCGATCGGGTATCATGCCTCAAACCATTTTTTTTTGAAATGCAAGAACACACACAAAAATGAATGAAAACAACAAAATATAAACTTGGGTTGCCTCCCGCCTTATTTAATGTCGCGGCACGACGTTATTCACTTTTTTTTTTGTTTTATGTGGGATCATGAGTATCACTTGTTTCATTTTTCAAAGCCCTATTTGACCATTTTTCATTTTTATTTTTCGGTCTTTTCAAGTAAGGCCGAGCTTTCATTTTCATCAACACCTCAATTGCAGGTGGTTTAAGTTTGCATCTCAATGACTTTGTTCCAACCACTGATGACTCCCTAGCTCAATTTTCTCCTCTTCTTGAAAGATTTTATCAAATTTCTTCAAAAATATTGGTTCTTGTGGTTCAACAACACTTAAAGAGCAAATAGATTGATCTTCAATTTGTTTTTTCGTAGAGTCAAATATATTGAACTCTACTTTTTGGTCATTGAACTCTAAAGTTAATGAATCACTAGACACGTCAATTTTAGTTTTTGCGGTCTTCAAGAAGGGTCTACCCAAAAGGATGGGTGTTGTTTGGTCATCATTTCCCATTTCAAAGACATAGAAGTCAACAGGGAAAACCATAATTTCCACTTCTACTAGCACATCTTCTATCACACCCTTCGGGTAAGTGCTAGAATGATCCGCTAGTTGAATTACTACACCGGTTTGATGTAGTGGGCTAAGTTGTAGGGATTTATAAACGGAATAAGGAATGACATTTATTGATGCTCCTAAATCCAACAAGGCCCTAGGAAATGTGGTGCCCCCTATCGTGCAACGAATAGTGCACATGCTTGGGTCGCTACAAGTTTTGACCTCCTGAGTGTTTGGTTTCAGAAGAAGTTCTTTGACCAGAGAAGTCAAACTGGCAACTTGGCTTTCCAACGAGGTGTTGGATTCTGTTGCGGCAACCCTTCGAGTTGAGGATCGCCCACTGTAATGTCTGGAGTTCTCGGCCAACTCCGAGATGAGATTCCTTGCTTGAGAAGGGGTTTTGTTAACAATCCCCCCTCCACATGCCGCATTCACCATGCGTCTATCTTGATCCGCAAGACCATCATAAAAATAGAGGATGAGGTCTTGCTCGGTGTACCCATGATATGGGCAACTAGCACACAACTTTTTGAAACGCTCCCAATATTCATACAATGTTTCATCTTCTTTTTGCTCAATGTTACTTATTTGTGTTTTAAAGAAGATGAGATTGAGGCGGGATAGTACCTATCCAAGAAGCATTTTTTCATTGCTGCACATGTGTCTATACTTCCGAGCGAAGATAGAATAGCCAATCCTTTGCAGTGTCTTTGAGGGAGAATGGAAAAGCCCTCAATTTGATTTGTTCTTCTGAGACACCACTGGGGCACATGCTTGTGCACACAATATGGAACTCAGAAAGGTGTTTGTTCGGATCTTCTCCTCTTAGGCCATGAAAGGATGGCAGTAGATGTATGAGCCCAGATTTTAGCTCAAATGTATTACCTTCATTGAGTGTAGGGAAGGTAATACATAATGGTTGTTGATTGAGATTTGGAGCAATGAGCTCCCGTAGTGTTCTTGTCTCAAGAGCCATGGTTATTGACTCTTCGGTCTCGCTAGAATGAGAACTAGCGCTGGATGAATCTCTGATAGACGATTCCTCCGAGTCGGTATTAGAAAAATTTACTTTTCAACCGCTCGAAAGTTTGTTCTATTTCTGGGTTTGTTTGATAGGTGATCTCGTTTATAGAACGGTGTTTAACCATATACTTCACCAAGCTCAGAAATAGAAGAAATAAGAACTCTTTATATTTTATTTAATATTTTTTTTTTGATTTTTTTGAGATAAAATAAAAAGAAAAATAATTGCCTTTCCCCGGCA